AAAAAAAAAGGAAAAAAGGGAATGCTTATGTGACAGCGTCAGGTATCGGAAAGCAGAACACGTTCCTACAAATCCTGCAAATGCTCCAACATACCACGATGCAAGACTATGTGATCAATCATGTTGTTCTTGTTCTTAGTTTGGTACAGACAGAAAGGGCAGCAGAGGTCCTTCTGATGAGTAGGCTTTGACTGGCAGGTAGAGTGACCCGTCTCCATGTGCATTTCCAGAGTTTTCCTAATGACAACAGGAGAAATCAGTGATAACATTGCAAATCTGTCGGTGTTTGGTGACAACTCCTGTTGAGTAATGAGTAAAAATGACAAATTCAAGATGTCTGTCAAGTCAAATACCTCATAAAACTCATCCAAGTTATTTCCATACATCTAAAATAATTGACAACAATGTCTAAATCTGAATAAAAGAAGCTTCTTCTTCAAAAAGGGTTCAAACAGCAGATAGCGCGGCATATTTGATTTAGCACACTTTTATGCCAGGTTCTCTTCCCGATGCCACCCCAAAGGGATTTGTGTCTCCTCCTTGAGGCAAACCAGGAATGCATTATGTCACCTGACTATAGAAACTAGTCAGATCCTGCACCTCTATGATGATGCAGAATTAAAAGTATCAATTATTATTATTACTCATACTAAATGAAAATGCGAGAATAAATGCAACATTTAAAACAAATGTGAAAACAAATATTTACATAAAAATATTCATTTGTGTACATTTTCCATTTTCGAAAACAAAAGCTAAATAGTTGAAGCTAAGTAGTACAATTTGCAGATTTTTAGTAACACACTAAATTTTATTAAAGAAAAAAAAGCCAAAAATCTTTTGTACACACAAAACTACAAACTCTTGCAGCATCTTACCTTAAACCTGTGAAAAAGTTGCAGTCTTTACATCTGAGGATTTTCTTTCCATGCCGATTTAGGTAGTGCCGCCGGATACTAGACAGGTGTCCAGTGCTGAAATTGCAGAACTCACAGTGAAGCACGCTGTTCTCAGGTAATTTTGAAAGTTGCACGTTCACTTTAGATTTGATGCTGCTGTGTGCCATCATGGTGTAGTGGTTTAACTGGCGCCGCACATCTGGGGGCTCCAAGTACAGAGATCCTGTCAAAGTTTCAAGGACCCACAGTCTGTTAGTACTGCTACAAAACCAAAAACTGTTTGTTTTATGAAAACCAAGACCACGTTTACAAAAAAAAAAAGAAAAACACACACACAAAAAAAACATGAGATGACTTGCCTTTAATCAGTTCAGGTCCCTCATCAATTTCAGGCAAGCTGTTCATTTTCTCTGATGAATTAGAGGACTCATTATCAAACCTCTCTTCACTCTCATCTTTGTCTTCAGTCTCAGCTGCAGCCATGATGAGATCTAAGCATTCAGCAAAAGAATAAACAAATGAAAAATGAAAGACATAAACGCAGACATAAAGCCACACGAAATCTCTCAAACCCCTTCTTGTGAAAGATGTGGCTGTCTTTAAAACTAAGCCAAAACCATCCCAGTCTGAACAGTTAAAGTCAGCTTCTAATATAAAATGCACCTGTGACAACTCATATTATCTTGACCAAATCCAGCATACAGAAAACGTATCCTAATAATCTACAACAAAAGACTAATTTTAAAAATTCTGGTGATTTTGAAATCAATGTTCGCAGATCAAAGTCAATGCATTTGACACTTAATGCTCATAAGATACCACTGGTGATGTTACAAATGAGTTCTTACCATTATGCTTTTTCATAAAATGACTCCTCCAGAGGCCAAAGACTGTTGTCCGATAGGTACAGCAACTACACAGAAAAGGTCTCAGAGTTCCAGATTTGTGGATGAGATATTTGCTAATGCTGGTGAGGTAAAAAGAAAAAAAAAGGTTTACAATCATTCAACTCTCACAAAAAACACAGCTTGGGGTGTTTGGGACTTGCTTTAACGAATAAAGTAATCAAAATTCAATTTTAACAAGCCTGCGAAAGATACATTAGTCAAACAGAGAGTAGATGAAGTAACTCCTATAATCTGTAAAGGAGGTATAATTTCTCTACTTTGGTTCTCTTGTCGGAAAGCCATTGGTTCGATTTATGAGGAAACGGTCTTCTTGTGCAGTTTAAAGTTATACAGGAGTGGATAGAGGTGGAATTGAGGAAAGCGGGAAAGGGGAGTCTAACTTTTTATTTAACCAGGAAGTGAAAATCTTGAGATAAAGAAGCTTTTCTGCAAAGGTTTTCCAATACCCAGATAGGCACTGTACTTTTTCAGACTAAACAAGACCAACTGCTAAAATTTCCATTTGGCTATGTTACTTTTTAAGTGAGCCCACAAAAAAAAAAAAAAAGCGTGGCAAAATGGTGTGACTGCTTTAATATACCAGCCTAAATTTAGCCATTATTAATACTTTTTTTTAAGTTTAGTTTTTTAAAATAAAAAAAGTCCAAAGTTCTTACTTGTGTTTTAATCCAGATGTGGAGCTATTGTCCAGTTTCTTGATGGCTGCGTGGCTGTGCTCATGTGAATGCAAGCCTTTCAATGACATAAACATCTGGCCGCACTGTTTACACGTGTGTATGTCTCCATTCGATTCTAGTTCTGGCTGCTCTACATCAGAGAGTTCTGATGTAGCGGCGCTCTGTACTGGTGTCCCGTTCCAACAATTAACCTCGTTCACAGTTTCCAATGTGGTCGTTTCGTCTTGCCTGCAGGGCTGGAAATAATCACCATAATGGTCAAATAACACGAGTAGATCAGAAGACAAAGAGTGTAGACAGGAATTACAGCGTCAACTTACCTCGCTGGATTCTTGCTCTAGTGTTGTGCTAATAAGCGACTCCTTTCTCTGCGCAGCCTTGGCCTTTTTTAGCATCCTTGCTCTGTGGCGATCCATGTGATAACACACCTTTCTAATCCCATTTAATTGTGTGTTGCAGTGGTCACATTTGTAAACCCCTGTGGTTTTCTTTTTCGTCGATCCTAGTGACACCACAGTAAAGTCCAATTTCCACTCTGAGCGGTGAAAAGTACTATAGTGGTCAATGAGCAGCTGTGATGACTCGAACGTTAATTCTGGACATTTCAAACATTTAACCTTTGTGCTGTTGCCTGATTTAAGTACGTTGCTGGGAAAGTTCCATTTACGCTTATTATATTTCTCAAGAAGTTTGTAAATACTGACTGCATCCAATTTGTGAGTATTTTTGTAGTGGCACTGGAGGTATTTTCGATACAGTCCTTTATAGGTGCACATCTGGCACTTGTACAACTGTTTGTTGCTGCGGAGGCCGGACAGCAAAGTTGACGGGGATGCCTCAGGAGTTTCCGTTTGTGGAGCTTGTCTACTTTCCGCAATGCTTACTTGTCTCGAAGTTTTGTTTTTCACAGAGGCATCCTCCCGTGCTGAGCCCTGAGATGTGTGAACCGGCTGGCTTTCAGTGTCAGTGTGCTCATACACTTCTGTGTCATGATGAACCCTCTTACAGTGAGCATTGAGTTTTGTCAGTGATCCATGGATTTGTGAACATTTTTTACACAAGTACCCTCTTTCATTAGAACCTTTTCCTAAAGTACAATTGACCATGTTTGATACAAAGACTTCACCTGTCTCAAGTTCATCTGCCCGGACTACAATTGCTGGATGCTTCATTTGACAGTGAGTGAGGGTCCCGTGGTAGCTAGCATTCACATATGGACACTTTGGACACTTGTAGATCAAGAGGCTTTCTTCTGCTGTTATGCAAGACTTAAATGTCTCAGAGGCTTTTTCTTGTTGCTGAGTTGATGGGTCTTCAGACGGCGATGGCGCTGTCTTCTTGAGAGGCTGTTTGTATATGGGCACGTAGTATTTTAAATAAGCCTCCTTTCCATGCGTCACTGCATAGTGGCCTCCAAGATGCTTTTTCCTGAAGTAAACTTTAGAACACAGCACACATTTGTATACGCAGTCCTTTGAAATAGTATGCTTGTGGTTAGCAAACAAATGGCGACCAAGAGCAAGTTTGGTGGTGCATGTGTAAGAACAGTGCTGGCAGTTGATCACGGCATAGATTTTCTTGCTTAAAAATGAAGTCTTTGATACAGATCCATGTGTACTGTAGGCTTTAGATAGAAGTATTTTACTTTTAACTAATGGCTTAGGAGCAGATTTGGCCGTGCTTTGTGCTGTGCTTACACCAGTCTTCTTGTGGTCTCGCTCGCAGTGTTTGTTCAATTTATCCAGCGTTGCGCAGATTTGCGGACAGGTTTTACACATGTGTCCACAAAGTTTCAAAGTCTCACCAGGAGGACTGCTTTTCTGGGTTTCGTCCAAATTTTCAACATACACCATATCCACATGGAGACTATCGGCCCTGGATGGGAGGTTGGGATGCTTCATCTGGCAGTGAGTGAGAACACCCTGATAAACGGTATTGACGTAGGTACAATACGGACACTTAAAGACATGCAGACGTTTTTGGAGCTTCCTTTTTGGTTTTTGTTCTTGTTCAAATTTTTCGATTACAGCTTCCGGGTGTTTCATTCCACAGTGAATGTGGAGACCGTGTTTGCTATTAAAATTTGCAGAGCAGTAAAGGCACTTGAACACTGTGGAGGACGCCTCTGCTTCATCCTGTGATTTACCAAACTGGTAGGAGTCAAATGAGCCAGGTCTGTCACTTTGGTCTTCCACCCGCCAGCTTGCGCTTGTTTTCTTGGAAAGTTTTGCACTCAAAGGATGAACCTTTCGGTAATGGTGTGCCAGATCTGACAAAGAGTTAGTTTTAAAAGAGCATCTTTTGCAAGATAAACCAGCTTTATTTTGTCCAGATCTTTGGGATATCAATCTGTTTTCAGTGCCATTGCCTCCACTCTGCTCTAGATCAGGCTTCTTCTTTTTAAGAAGGACCATTTCAGGACCGGCATATAACCGAGTACTTACATACTCAACGCAGGGGACACGTCCTAGGTGGCGTTCCTGGTAGTGCTCATAAACTGCTGCAGCTTTTTCATGTCTGAAAACACAGAATTCACAATAATAGCCGGGCTCTAATGATCCTTGTCTAAAATAATATCTTAAAATATCTGTGACTGTACGCTTTACTTTGTGAATTTTCCTTAAATGCGTCTTCAGAGCATATATCACGTCAGTATTGTATGCGCATCTGTAACAGTTCAGGGACCTCTTTGTGTGTGGGGTTGTCACCGAGGGTGTTGCTGAAATGACCAACGATTTTGAATGCTTCTTTGTTTTCTTTTTCTTATTCATTTTCATCTTGAGGATTTCCTGAGCAGCTTCTTCATTTTGAGTGGATGTTAGAGGAGATTTCTGTGCCTGATCGTGGATCTTAGATGTATGCCGAAGGACTTCTGAAGGCTTCGCCTTAAATCCATGATGTGTTTTGCTGTAATGGCGCATTACCTGATCCAAAGTACTATGCCTGTAGTTACAAAAGTGGCAAAAAAATGCTTTTTCTTCGCCTTCATTTATTATAGGAAGAGGTAGATGGGAAGAAGAGGAATCCTTTGCATTTGCTTTCCTGATTTCATCATGGATTAAAGCTGTATATTCAAGAACACACTTAGTGCTGGAATTACACTTTCGATGAATCTTAGCCTGATGGTTAATTACTCCTTTTATAGATGGATTTCCGAAGTTGCATTTGTGGCAGTAAAACAAGTTTTCTGGACATGCGTAGGACTTGTCCTGTCTCGCTCCTGTTTCTGAGGCATCTGCTGTGTAATCCTCCTTATACAGATCTTCTTTTTCCCTGCACATCTTCACTTGTTTACTAGTATTAAATTGGGAAGATGAAGGACTTTTTGACATCTTAGATTCACTCTGACGTTTCTGCATCTCAGCACTGTACCATTGGACATCATCAGTACCTATTGGTGCATCCATAGAATGTTTTGCATTGTGATGACCAAGGATACTCTTAACCTTGGTACTTGTGTAACTGCAGAACTGGCAGTAAAATGTTTCATTTGGTAAACTGGATGAGAAATTGTCCAGTCCAGTAGTAATTTCATTAGTAATTTCATTACTGGATTTTGTTGGAAACTTCGAAGATTCCCCTTTCGTGGTTTGGGAAGATTCTGAACGATTCTTACAGGGTTCTGGTGTGGTCTCTGAATGATCTACTACAATCACAGAATCTGAACACTTCTCAGATGTCATCTCTGATGCTGCATGTGATGTGGGACAAGCTGACTGTTTGATTTTATCTAATGTGATTACTTCATCTGGGTGGCTTTTTTGGTAGTGAACATGCATAGCAACAACTGACCTGTGACTAAACATGCATTTCTGGCATTTATACAAGGCCATGTCTGCTCTTTTAGAGGAAGAATTTTGGGATGTGTGGGCACGCTCAGGAGAAATTCCACCTGATTTTTCTAGACTCAGCTGAGACGATTCCTCTTGGCATTCAGACATTGAATATCTGCAGAACAATAAGGAATTCTCCACTTCATATGTTGCATGTTTTGCCTTGTAATGTTCTTTCAAGGACTTCAATAGATTGGTAGTAAATTTACAGAGAAAGCATTTGAAAACCAAACTGAGGCCACATGATTTCATGGCAAATACATCTGGGGCATCTGGATGATTTTCCAAGTAGTGCCTCTTGAGGTCAGCTGTGCTTAAAAACTCAACTGGACACTCCAAGCAACGAAAGGTGGCACCGTGATCACTTGCGTCCTGAATGTAGACAGAATTGTATCTGATATAAGGGTGGTCACTTTGATAATGGGCAGAAATTCGCCTGATGCCCACGTCACTGTAGTCACAATGTTTACAAGAATACACTTTTGGCGCGTCTGCCTCGTCTTCATCTTCGCTGACTTCAAATGAAAACTCGTTGCTGCTGGATGACTGCTGTCTACTTTCATTTTCTTTTTCTGTGAGCATCTCTTCGTTATCCAACTTGGCTTTTTTGACAGGATGACCTTTTGAACTTTTACCACTGGATCTCTTCACAGCACTGTCAGGAACAGTTTCTTTTCTGAATTGTTCCAGAGTTTTAGATGGTGTCAAATCAGTAGTCAAGTCAGTGTGCAAAAAATGGTTCGACTTACTTCCGGTGATATCTATCACAGACTTTGCTGTGACTTTAAACACACCACTACTGTTTGGACAGGAGCTTGAAGGAGATTCCTGCAAAATGATAGTTCCTTTGGTGCCATCAGCTAATTTTGCAGCAGTCATTGTATTTGATTCAGATGACACTGAGAAGTACTTCGTAATGGTTTGCAATGGCCTCTTGTAGGTTTTCAGGTCCTTTAACATGCATTTCCCTTCTGAGGTAGAAATATCTGAAAGAACTGATGGATCTTCCAATGTTCCTGCAGCTTCATTGTTCTGGTTTGCTGAAATGACACTTAAAGTGCTGTCGAGGTTTTCTGAAATGATGACACCTCCTGACACGTTAGGATTTTCTGAAGTTTTGTGACACAGTTCCTCGTGTTCACTGAAATCATCCCAACTACAAGCTTTAAAATCACAGCTCTGGCATTTAAAATTATCTCCTGAACTGCTGCTGCTGTTCTCTGTGTTGGCTTTGTCAGTCCCAGGGCATAAACCAGCCTCTCTGAGAGAAGTTTCTGTATTGAGGCCATGCACCTTGTTGAGGTGTTCAAAAAGGTACACCTTGGATTTGAAGATCAGCACACAGTGACTACAATGGAAAGCCTTGACTTGGGATTCTTCAGTGACTGCTTGGCTGATGACTTGCTTGATGTGGCCAGAGGTGGAGCACTCCACTGTATCTGAGGGGGCAGGCAACAGACCACTATAGATCAGATTAGGTCAGTATCTATTCACAAAGACATTGCATAGCTCTGTGATACATACCGTTTTCCATCTTGCATGCCTCTTTTAACCCACAGCCTTACACATTAAGTGACACACCTAGACAACTGAAAAAACAGATTATTTTTCTCAAGACACAGAAGCAGCACAACATAATCCGACGCTACTTCGTTACCCGTTATTAAGTTAAACGCACAAGTGAATACTTAAAAAAGAGAGCGAGATTGTACGCTTTGCTAATATTATCTTTAAATATGGCAGCACAAAGAACTCAACACCTCTATTTAACTTTCAGTGTAGCATATTCAACAGGAAGGAGACGTAAAACGAGTCAACCGAATAAACAGATCCTACCTATTTTAACAAAATGCCGAGATGTGCAACTCGCTAAAGTGCGCGATGCACGCAAGGTTTTTACTCACGCATGCACACAAAAACAGGACAAGGCTTAGGAGGCACCGTTTTGAACCGCTGCTGGAGGTCGCATGAACACGGAACACGTTTCCGCCATTTTTCCCGCGAGTGTGACTCTCCCTGGCCTGTGCTTCCGCCACCGCAACAAAACATCTTCACTTCCGTAGAAGTCACCAACCCTTCAAAATAAAACTACTTGAACCTACCTCCGCTGTGTAAGTAATTAAAATATCAGTTATAATGTTTTTTTTACCAGCAGTTACACGAGATTCAATATAACGACAGGATATTTTGTTTTAATACGAACTAGGATTTCTTAATTTTATTTTTTTTAATTGTATCAATTTGATTAAAAAAATGTGTGTTTGTTTTTTATTTGTTAATATTCACGGAAAAGTATGGAGTTTGTTGTTGTTTTTTTTACTTCCACGCTTAGTTTCATTGTGAAATCTGGGGAAAGAGTAACCGGAAGTGCGTAGATTTCATGCCTTAACGCCAAGCCCCCTTTTAAAAGTCTTTTTTTGTTTTTGTGATGGTGTTGTTTTCTGCTTCTTTGGCCGGCGATATAGGTATTATAATGTCCAATGAAAGGTATTAACAAATCCTCCATACTGTAAGTGTTATATAGCACCGCATATTTAAATAAATGGGCGCTATTGTTATTAAAAATTTATAACAGAAACCCTTTTTTTAGGCTCGGTTTCTATCGCAGGCAATTGGCCACGTGCTTGCAGTGACGGTGCTTGCTGAGCTGCACAGGTCACAAAGAAAGCAAGAAAAGCTTTGTTTTACCAATATCACCTTGGTTCCCAGAGAAATTTTATACTGATGTTGCAGACTTTTGCAGAGGGTCTGGCTTTTACAACAAGATGGAAGCTAAAACATTCTAGGGGAAAAATAAAGGATCTAGATTTGTGTTATATATCACGTCTTTACAAAATTTTTTGCTCAATATGTTTCAAATTCACTCTTTATATGTTCATGATGCGCAAATCCTTTCGAGGCAGGTACCCTGCTTTAAGCAGGAGGCCGTTTGTGTAAAAAAGGATCGACCATCTCTCAAACGAGAAGGGGCTTAAGAGTTTATCTTTCACGATCTTATAATGCGGTGAATGCAGCCATTCCTCGTCTCACAATGAATAGTACTCATACCAAAAAGTACAAAATGAAAGCATGTTTTTCATTATCAACTGCACCACTTAACCAGCCACACTGCTCTGTTTCTATTCTCATTGTAGTCTTTGGGGCGATCGTGGCTCAAGAGTTGGGAGCTCGCCTTGTAATCGGAAGGTTGCCGACATACATCGCCACTTTACGTCAACTCCGAAGCCCTTTGGAACAGGGCCCTGTGCAGCACTGTTCAGCAAGAGCAGTGAGGTTTCAGTTGTAATGCTGCTTACACTTGTCACATGTTTTTTGCATATGCAATAATGTTGCATATTCCACAGCCCTACCCTGTCTTGACAAGTAAATTTAAGAATCTGTTTAGGACATTTTTTTTTTTTTCTCACTTTGAATTTTTTTTATTGAAACGAAGCTTCTGGCTTATTGGTGTTATTTTAGTCGTTATGCAGGCGTATTGTTTGTAAAGTTGGTGAAGCCTGCAGTCGGCTGAAACTGAAGAAGTCACATAGATAAGTGAGAAAATGTTTCTACTAAACGCTGGGTCCAGATGAACAGAAATAAATTTCTAGGATCCGATCAGTTTACACTGACTACTACTCCATGGTTGTTTTGTATGTTAACAAGAACAAAATAAGTGAAGTAGACTTACAGGGCTTGTTCAAAGAGGTTTTCCAACATATGGTTTTAACCAAAAAAGCATGGGTGCTTTTTCCTTAAAAAGTGAAAAAAAAAGAAAAAAAAAACAGGAAATTGTTAAGAACGCCTTAGGTGAAGCAGTGTTAGATAAACTAACAAAACACTGCTATTAAAAAAAAAACTATTGGCATATAAAAACTTCCATTAAGCTGAATATTATTTATATTATTGCATACATATGGTTGACAGAAAGTCACCTCTGTAGCTATTTCCCATTGAGGATTGCAAAAGAAACCACAAAAACTAATAAAACCAACTTACTGATTGTTTGTACATGTGCAGTGGAGGCAAAGTGGATATACTGGATAAAGAATGCTGAATATGGAGCTGCCATAATAAAAAATAAAAACTAGTTAGTGTGAGATACGACCTGGTTTTTATTTAACCAGTAAGGAAATTGTGATGCACACTCCACACCAGTTGGAGGCGCTGGTCCTCCAACTTGTCTGTCAGCCTCAAAGAAGAGACGACCAATGACGACCCAGCAGGGAAGTATTGATCTGGTTGTCATCTGTCCAGTGTTTGGTCCAGGGGCGATTTTAGCCCATTTTTGGGGGTGCTTTAGCACCCCGAAAATGAATCAAAGCACCCCCAAAGATTTCTTACTTTTTTTTGACAATATTTGCTGTTTGTGTGACTCACTACTAAAAATATAAAAAGTATACAGTACTGTACTTGTTTGAGACGTAACATTTTAACAACAAAAGTATAGATAACCCCCCCTCCCAAAATGGTTTGTTCCAGCTCGCCTCTCTCCTACTCTGGCTCTAGCGCCGTTGCTGCCAGAGCGATGGTGGCTGAGACGCAGCAGAGCGGAGTTGTGAGTGCCTGGCTTAAAACAGGACATGTTAGCTGCATTTAACCTTCAGTTACTCTTTATATAGTTAGGTAGGAGTCAGACCATGTTTCTTTTTAGCTGAAAAACATTACACCAGGTAACCTGCAGTGTTGAAAGCGTGTTTTTTTCGACAATGTTTGCTACCCTACAATCCGTCGTGCTCTGTAGTAAATTCAGCGACATTTGACCGTCCTGTTGCTCCCATTAAAATGTATATAGCCTATTTAAAATCGAAAACTTTAAATTGTCGGCAGCCTACTGCTGTTACCACCGTCCTGTTTGAAACGGATACTAACTAGCTAACTGACTGAATGCCCATTAACCTTATAACTCCTGTTGTGTGAATGTGTGTGTACATAGAGACAGCCAGGTTCGTAATGGATATAAGGAAGTTTTTTCAAAAAAAAGGAGCCACATTCAGGTAAAAGTGTAAAATCAAATGATCCATCAATCAAGAATAATGTTGGATCAGTGTTTCATTGTTTATATCTTTTATTAGATGTTCATGTGGTTTGGTTATTTGCCTTATGGTTGAAAGTACACTGAGAGAGGACTTTTTGTTAGTGATCTTAATAGAATTTTTTTCATATTAATGTAATTTTTTATCTAATTGAATACAATCTATTTGTGTATGATTGTCAGTCCAAAGAGGGAGAGAGGAAAGAGGGCAACATGAGGAGAAAGTACAAGGTCAGGAAGAATCAGGTAAGAAAACAGACAGGGAACAGTGACAGGCACAACAGAAACTGTTAAACTGGCAAAGAAAAAAAAAAACACAACTTATTTTACTCACACAATCTGGAAGTTGTGTCCTCCCTATATTAAAGCTGTTATACAGAATCTGCAAAACAAACTGGGTTGAAACTAGTGATGGTGAGATGAAGCCTCATGATGAACTGAAGCTTTCCACCCAATTGGTCGACTCATGGTTCGAAGCATTGTGATGATTCATTTGCTCTACTGCGCCATCAAGTGGACAATTCAAGTGAAGGCTCTGTGATTATAATGATGTGTAAACCTCTAAACTGAATAAATAAATTGTTT